AATTTTTTCTTGCGCTTGAAACGCGATTTACACCTTTACAAAGCTTCTCTTGCGCATGCAAATTTAATTTACGCTTACAGTCTTATGTACACTTCCACAACTCTTACCCTGCGTATGCAAATCTTTTTGACGTCATTCTACCTTCATAGAAATTAATTTTTATTCAGCAAGTATGCATTAAATTGATCAAAAGTGACAGTAAAGACATTAAAAATGTTACCAAAGATTTCTATTTCAAATAAATGCTGTGCTTTTGACTTTTTTATTCATCTGTGAATCCTGAAATATATATATATATTTTTTAAAAGTCACAGTTTCCACACAGCAGCACAAGTGTTTTCAACACTGATAATAATCAGAAATGTTTCTTGAGCAGCAGATCAGCATATTAGAATGATTTCTGAAGGATCATGTGACACTGAAGACTGGAGTAATGATGCTGAAAATTCAGCTTTGATCACAGAAATAAATTACAGTTTACAGTATATTCACATAGAAAACACTTTTATTAAATTGTAACAATATTTCACAATTTTACAGTTGTTATTGTATTTTTCATCAAATAAATTCAGCCTTGGTGAGCAGAAGAGAGTTATTTGAAGAACAAAAAAAATCTTACAGCTCATTAAAAAAAAATCAATAAATGTTTTAATTTTTTTCACAAAATAAGAATGAAGACTTTAAAAAAAAAATTAAACAATAATAAATAAAATAAAATAAATAGATAAAAAAAATCTGTAATTTTCCTTGGCTGTTTGGATGCCATAAAACACCCACAAAGTAGGCTTAAGTTTGCATTTTCTTCAGTCACTGCACTGGCTATAATTATAACCCTAAAATCAGGATTGGGCATAAAATAATATCTTGTATGTGAAAACAGGCTGTAGTAGTTATAATCTGGCTTAGAGGAAGACAGGAATCATGTCTTTGTGGCAATTTTTCTGCTGATTAAGAGTAAATACAAGACTTCTTCACCTTACAAACACTTTTTAAAAGCAAAAATGCTTCGAAATGCATCATGTTTTGTGCAAACAACCATTATTTTTGGAATCAGCGCCTCAAATAATAAGAAACTAGTATTGGAAATCATTCCGGAAATATGATACACACTGAAAAAATGATACTAAATTTTTTTAAGGTAAGTGGTTGCAAACAATTTATTTTAGCTACATTTAATTAAAAAAATATTTTAAATGTTGAAAGTCAACTAAATGTATTTATTTAAATGTAGCTAAAATTAATTGATTGCAACCACTTACCTTAAAAAAATGTAGTAAATTCAATGAATAATTTTTTTTCAGTGCAGGGGAGTGTTTATCTTAATTATCTTTGCTAAAATGCCCTGAAAATACCACTTAAATTGAAATACCTACTCATCCAAGTTAACCTTAAACATTTTTCTCTAAAATCATGCTATGATGCAACAAATCTACTCATAGGTGTGCTTGGTCTCATTCTTGCTGCTGACTTTGTGTCTGTCTAGTTGGAGGCGGAGGTTGGAGAAGGTGGTGAGGACGATGAAGACTGTTTTCCCTCCATCCTCCCTGATATGGACCGCGAGGGCCGAGTTTCTGAGGTCTTTGCTCACATCGATGAATTCGGAGTGCTGAGCTCCACGAAGCCCACGTTGGGCGCGGCGGCGAGTCGAGACCTGGGGCTCGGAGTCGGGGGCTTGACCGGGATGGGCGTAGCTGGATTGGAGAACACAAGTCTGCTGGTGGCGCTGGAGAGGCAGAGACTGGACCTGGAGAAACACCGCTTACAGGTGGAGTCCGAACGGCTGCAGGTGGAGAAAGAGCGCCTCCTGGTGGAGAAGGAGCGGTTGAGGCAGGGTGAGGTGGAGAGAGAGCGGCTGCAGCTGGAGAAGGAGCGTCTGCAGGTGGAGCGAGAACGATTGCGACTGCAGCTGCAACAGAACACGCCCCTCCAGCAGAGCCCCGCCCCCTCGACGTCTGTAGCCACGCCCACCACGTCATCCTCTGCCCCCTCGTCGTCCTCATTGGACGGAGAGAAGGACAGGAAGCTGGCTTGGCCAATGGTGGTGGATCTGGAGGCGGAGAAGCTGAAGTTAGAGAAAGAGCGCCTCCTGCTGGAGAAGGAGAGACTGCAGTTCTTCAAGTTTGAGTCGGGAAGACTGCAGATTGAGAAAGAGCGCCTGCAGGTGGAGAAAGAGAGGTTGCAGCTTCACAAAGATGGACAACAGATGGTGCTGCACTCGTGAAACACCACAGATACAGCCGGGTAGAGAAAGATTGTTACCGTAGTTATCTATTCATTTCTATGGGGAAAAATTCAAATATTTGTGTCCTATGCACTTTAAATAAAGCAAAAAAATCAATTATTTCTGTCAGACATTTGAAAAAGAAAAAAGTCAAGCAATGATTGCGAGAAGATTATAAACAAGATGCATGTGGACTCACTTTTGAACGTATGCAGCAGTAGACTGTGCATTTTTAAATATAAATATGATAAATGAATGTCAGAAAATTACCTCATTGCAGAAGAAAACTGTGATTTTACATGCGTCTTTTATCATCTTGTTGCTGAATT